ATTTCTTCTACTTTCTTCTCTTGCTTTGTGTTCTACATGGAGTGTGGTGCCTCGAACTGCTGCACATCGGTGCAAAGTTCTATGTCGAAAAAAAAACAGACAAACATATCACTCACACACCGACGACCTGCTCGTCGTTTCACACTGGGATTACACTCAAGTGATGGTCTGGTTTGCGATGTTGTTCGAAAGTCTCCTCAACGTGTGCCCGATCCATCTCCGTATTCTCCTACATATTTTTCTGTTGAGCAGTTGGCTCTTGGTTGGTTGGTTGGTTGGTTTGTTCCCAGTTAGAGTTTCTTCTTGCTAATTGTGTCTGGCTGGTCAGTATGAAGCCAGTGAAGGAGGCAGATTTGGATGAAATTCTCCAGTGGCTTGTTGGAAATCCTTTTAGTGATGTCAGGCAATAGTGTGTCTTATTAATATACTGAATGATTGAAATCAGTCTATCACAATCTATATATCGTCTGACAGGTGATGGAATTGTAACAAAACTTCTAAATCTCGAAAATACCCATTTATTCATAAGTAAAAACACAGTTTTTGTTCAGCAAAGAAATTTCTTTTCAACGACTTCATTTTCAAGCCAACTGTACAGTCGTATTTATATTACAGAAAAAGGTTATTAAGTGGCACTAAATAATTGCTCAGTCAATGTACGTATATATGTGATAAAAGTTATAAGGGGTAGAGTTGGAGTGGATAAATTACAAAAATATTAAAGATTGTATTATAACAAAAATGTCAAGTGTTGTCTAAAAAATTATGAAAATTAGGAGTACGATTACGATAAGAATGAAGATGTGAAGTGAAGAAATTCAAGTGGTAAAAAAAAAACTAGAAGAACATTACTATGATCAAGGTAAAGAAAGGGGTTTGACAAAACGCTTTTGAACACATAATTTAGGTTTCTGTTCATGTATAGCTAAAGCTTCGGCTATGCATAAGTGCAGAAAACGTAAACTTTGGATCGATAACCTTGAAGGATGAATCACGTGGGTAAATGACCAGACTCTAACAGGTGATCACAAATAGACGACTTCGCGTTCTAGTTCGCCTTTCATTAACCAAACCGGATAGTGTTCAGCTACACGTTTTCGGAGATTACGCTTACAACGTCCAATAAAACAGCTCCACAAGAGCAAGTAAAGAGTAAATGCACATATATTGGACGTTGTAAGCGTAATCTCCGAAAACGTGTAGCTGAACACTATCCGGTTTGGTTAATGAAAGGTGAGCGTAGAACTGCAAAGTCGTCTATTTGTGATCACCTGTTAGAGTCTGGTCATTTAGCCCCACGTGATTCATCTTTCAAAGTTATATACATGGCAAAATCCAATCGATCCAAAAGTTTACGTTTTCTGCACTTATGCATAGCGAAGCTTTAGCTATACATGAACAGAAACCTAAATTATGTGTTCAAAAGCGTTTTGTCAAACCCCTTTCTTTACCTTGTCATAGTAATGTTCTGTCTAGTTTTTATTTTATTTTACCACTTGAATTCTTCACTTCACATCTTCATCGTAATCGTACTCCTAATTTTCATATTTTAGACAACACTTGACATTTTGTTAAAACAATCTTTAATATTTTTGTAATTTATCCACTCAACTCTACCCCTTAACTTTTATCAATAACGTACATTGACTGAGCAATTATTTAGTGCCACTTAATAACCTTTTTCTGTAATATAAATACGACTGTACAGCTTGAAAATGAAGTCGTTGAAAAGAAATTTCTTCGCAAACTTTTAAAGCTAGATAATCAATAGAAAGTCATCTGAAGTATGCTCATGAACTGACTTCATTTAGAGAACCGCTAGAAACCAGAAAATACTTAAGAGTCAGTTAATTCTATCATGGGACTCTCCAGAATTACACGCTCACAACCCAAATAGGAGTCACTTCCAGAATTTTCAGGTTACGTGACATACCTGTTTACCATTCAACCACTGGGATGACATCTAGTAGGATATAAATTCTAACTGCTGCCAATTTAAGGCAAACGCCATTTGAGTTTTATCCTCACACAAATTAGTGGGGCTCTGTGGTCCTAAGTTCTCAAAAAAATTGATTTTATGAAATGAAGATCTTACTTTTGACCACCATCCCGCTTCAAATAGCCTTATTATTTTTTGTATCTAGGCCATCTAATATTGAATATGGGACAAAGGCAGCGCTGTTGATAAATCGCTGCAGCTTACTGAGAATACTTTTTGTAATTTTACACTATAGCGGAAGTTAAATAAGCAAAAGTACATATTTTTATTATTGTTAGTCACATTAAATTTCGGCTAGGTCAGAAAAGTAGAAATTATCCGGATTGGTCAGTAATTGGCCCAATGGTTAAACAAAAAAAAATAGACAAACATTTATTCAACATCGTAAAGTAAATCCAGATTTGAGGAATAAACGAATTCTACCTCTGCAGTCAATGCCTTAAAATGGTGATTTCAGTTTTGGCTCCTTCTTATTATCTTGAAATATTCTCATTAATAATATTGGAACAAGACACATAAGCGAACAGTATTGTTGTTTTCAATTAGATTTTCTTCAGGCTTTACTCTAATTTACATAGTTTTATATATAAAAATTTTGATTTTGTGGATCAAATAATAACAATAATAACGTGGTGAATGTTTTGAACATAGTTAATAACGATGATTATAATGATAACAAAATATTGATAATAAAGTTTATGCAGATGGCGATAAGAGGTAGTAATGTGTGTATATGTAGACAATTCAATAAATACACAAATTAGGTCAAATCTTAAAAATTACGTAATACTAAAGGTGAAGTGGATAGATAATCAGAGTTTAAATAAATATCATAAAAATACGAAGGATATGGAAAATAAGAAAGGGTGGGAGGGTTTTGAGTAGAATTCACCTAGGCTAAGCAAGGGAGAGACAAAGGTAGAACAAACTTCTTTTGTTGTATGCAAAGACTAGGATTGTTCTCTCGAATTCCCATCGCTTCGGCTGAGTGTAAAAGACGGGTTCTGATTCCGTTCGAAAGGCTCGATGGAATGCGATAGATAACTTTGAAGGCACTATTTTTGTCCACTTGGTGACCTTTATCATCAGTCAAATGAGCCAAAATAGAACTTCTTATGGATTTTATTTGGCCTTTTCCGAACCATGAAGGAAGATGCTCATCAATGCGTTTGTTAAGCTGTCTAGTTGTTACCATATTATTATTATTATTATTACTATTAGATCCACAAAATCGCCATCATTGGTTAAAAATTTTTATATATAAATCTATGTTAATTCGAGTAAAACCTGAAGAAGATCTAATTGAAAACAATATTTTGTTCGCTTCTTATTAATTTCAAGTAGTGATTTTATAAGGATTTGATTGATTAGTTGCAGGATTTCATCATAAGCTGACATCAGTTGGAGAACCATTGGAAAACCTGCAGAGAGTATTGGACAGTCAACTGTTTTGTCAGCCTAGTTTGGGACTCTTTAGCAGTACGCATCCACAGACACGGTTCGAACCCACAATCTTCGGATAACGAGGTGAGCTAGCAAGTAGACCATTAAGCCAGTGGGACCCGATTCAATGGCCGATGAATTCTAACTTCTGCCGGTTATTATATCATTATTTATTACTTTTAGTCTGACGAATAACTGTTTATGCTATCAGGGATTAAATATGTAGAAATAATAAAATGACGAAATAGACAGGAAGTTCGGATATGAAAATATGGTAGTGTAAACAGGGATTAAGAAAAACTCAAAAATAACATGAATAACCTGGAAGTTTGGATAAGAAAGGCCATGGGATAGTCACTATTAAAAGATTTACCCGTTTATGATGGCCATGGCAGGGAGAAGGGGTGAATGTATTTCTTTTGGATACAACGCGTGGGTATGAGCTTTTGGATGCCTAGTAATTCTTTGAACAGTGACTATCCTATTGCCTTTCTTATCCAAACTTCCAGGTTATTCATGTTATTTTTGAGTTTTTCTTAATCCCTATTTACACTACTATATTTTCATACCCGAACTTCCTGTCTATTTTGTCATTTTGTAATTTATACATATTTAATCCCTAATTGCATAAACAATTATTCGTCACATTAGTTATGATCCCACTAGATGTTTTATGCAAACATTCTGTCTATTTTTGTTATTTTTACCTTTCTCACCTCCAGTTGTACAATATTGCACAATATGTCAGTGATTATGATGCTACTTTGTTTGAGTTTTATCCGTCCCCCCCCCCGTGTTTATCATGGCAGTTAAAATTCCTAATTGTAATTTTATTAATTTGCCCCTTGACCGAACATCATTCTGGAACTTTCCCAACCATTTATACTATAAATACACGAATGTGCAGCTGTCTAGTTGATGACTTCGTCGAAAAGAAAATTTCCCTCGCTGCAACCGTTTTTTTATTATTCCTTATGATGAAATGTGTACTTTTAATCCGTCTTGATAAATATCACTCTAGTTTGGAACTCATCAGCAGTACGCACCTACCACCACGGTTAGAACCCAGGACCTTCTGGTTACAAGGCGAGCTATCTCGTAGACCATTAAGTCACTGGGACCCTATCCAATGGTTCTTGAATTCTTACTTCTGCCAATTCATGACATAGCGCTACCATTTCGCAATGTCTTCTTCGATGAGTTACTGTCTCATCTTCAACCTGATGTCAGGTCATGGTGAAATCCTCCATACAATCAAACAAAATCCCTACAAAACCAATACTTAAAAATATCATTCTGTGCCTAGAAGTAATGTGATGCTGATGATATTAGTGGTAATAATAAAAATAATAGTAAATAATGAGTGTCACATGAAATTTGTATGAAATGAACTGGTTTTGAGCTAAGCACATTTAAAAAAACTGTATCACGATTAATCAATATTCAACGAAAATTGAATGAACTTTGAGACTTAAATACTTACCTTAAATGATCATACATATATAAATACTCATAAATACTTAACCACTTTCGAAACTGTTCAGTATTCATATTCGATATGTCACAAATTGCAGAAACATTGATTGTTATCGGTGCAGGTCTCCCAAGAACTGGTACAACAAGTATGAAAATAGCACTGGAGATTTTATTGAATCAACCATGTTATCATATGGCTGAAATAGTTACTAAAAGGCATTGTGATATATTGAAATGGCAAAGTCTTATAGACGAAGCAAATAAAAGTCATGGAACATCAGTAGACTATAGATTATTCAAGGAAATATTTCATGGTTATGCTGCTGTAACAGATGCACCTGCATGTGGTTTCTGCAAACATTTAATGAATATCTATCCTAATTCAAAGGTGAGTAAATGTGTATGCAACCTTAGATACTTCTGCTATCTAATAAGTAAGCGATTCGCATGAACAGTGTAAAAAGGCATGAAAACATTAAGGTATAATTGTCAATAAGTTAGTTACTTTCTTGAGTAATTAATAAAGTCAACATGTCCTGGGTTATTTCATGTTTCTTACCAGTTAATTTGAGATCATCGCTATCATTTTTATGATTTTTATCTACTTGAATAGTAGTAGTTGGCATTTGGATCAAGAAGGCACGTTTCGTCTCATTTGGGACTCGTCACTTGACTGTACCTGCATACCTAGTCGATTAAAGTGTCTCTCATAAGACTCATAACTAGCAACGATCCTTTATAACGTCAAAGCGTTATCAAGTAACATCCAGATAACCAGCAGTACATAGAACGAAAGGTACATCCTGAATTCCAATCAGTTGGAGACGATGTGCGAACACAGAACAAGCATTTCTCTCCAACATAAGTCAATCAAACAGTATCAAATGAAAAACAATGTTTAGATTCATTTGTACTTCCACATTTTGCTGAGGTTCTTCACTTATTCGAATGATCATAACTATTGATACATTGAACAATCATACCTCACCTTTAGCGGTATATGTTCAATAAAAAGACCGGTAGATGATTTGGGTAGAAAATCAATGATCACAGTGGTAGTTCAATTTGTAATCAGTGATTCAGTGTTTGTGTTATTGATTTCTTTTTCAAACAGTCTAATAAATACATATTTCATTGTGTGGTGTATGCAAAGTACTTGTGATTATCGACTACTTAGAAACGCATCTACAAAATGGATGACTTAACTAACTGCTGACAGATGACCATTTCACGCAGAATGCTAGTGATTCCAACATGGATCCTGTTGCAAACCAATTTGAAATAAAACACTATGAATAGCTGAGCACAATATGACCACTTCATCAAAGTACAGTATTATCATAACCAAATGTGGACATTGAGTCCCATTTATTCTTATTTTGGATAATTTAATTAGTAGACTGAATATTATCGCGTACTTCATATTTTTCGTTAGCTCGACCATCAGCAATTCCCATTATCATCTGTGAGTATACTTCCCCACCCCTTACCAGATGAACTCCACTGGTCACCACCTCTCACTAGAACTAACTCCAGTCAAATTCACCCTGTAACCAGTCACCACCAGCGATAAGATTAATTTTTGAGACTTAGTTTGTAGGGATTCGATTTATTTCAAGTGTAACTATGGATTGAAAACCAGTAATTGAGTACTGGGCAGCTGTTTCGTCTTTGTTAAGGACTCAAATACAGTACACAGAATTCAAATCCTCTCTTAGTAGCTGAATGATCTACGAGCTTGCCACGTCTCCAGAAGGTCTTAGGTTCGGCTGCTGGCGGTGGGTGTATACAAGCAACAAGGCCTAAACTAGGAAAAGGCTCCGGTCTACAGCTTCCTACTTCTCTAACTTATATCAATCCCTGGTAAAAAAAATGAAACAAATAGCTCCATGATGGATAAAATTTTATTTCGATAAATCTATACAGTGTTGTACACTAATATTTACTGATGAACACCTTTCGAGCACAATTTATTACTGCAACTCACAGTCATACCAAGTCACTCAAACAACTTTTTTGCTTCATCTATATACATGAGTGAAATTGATGATTAGACATTTCAATGAAAACTAATATAACATAAAGTACATTCAGAAATTATATATAATAATAATAATAATATTAGTGTTAGCAATAAAATACAATCAGATGGGAAATAAGAGGCCTTGGTAGCAAATTTGTTACATGACATCAAGTGCCTTTCAATGACAATGTCAACGATATGGCCCAATGGGATACTAGTCGCCCTAATGACTGACAGTCTACAGAGTTCTACGAAGTATGACATAGTCTTTTTAAGCAATCCAGGAAAAAATAAGAGTGAACAGTGAAGAAGAATAGGTAAAATACACGAGCTGACAAACGGTAAGAGGAGTGGTTGGGTTCTGACTGAGTGCCTTAACTTCTTAATGTAAAAAGTCAAACGAAATATTCTCTTAGAAATTGCTAAGACATGAGAAGACCAGGACAGGTCAGAAGAAAGAATTAATCCAAGATACTTAACTTCAGACTTGATTTCTATATCAGTATCATCAATTTTGCAAGGGTCATAGGAACCAACGGCTTCATTTAACTTGATTTTACATCGGAAACTGAAATTAACTGTCTGGCATTTGTAAGGATTTAGTTTAAGGCCGTTACACGAAGACCATTTGCTAAATTCCTGATGGAAAGCTGTTCATCTTAGTACAGTCAAGCTGGGAGTTAACAGACGTTGAAATAGTTAGATCATCGGCATACTTAACAAAGTTCATTTCATCAGAGTGGGGCAAATCATGCAAAAAGAAAGAAAACAGAAAAGGAGCAAGGACAGTGCCATGAGGGACACCAGTCTCAGTAAGCAAAGAAGTGGACGACTTTTCCTGACATACAGTGTACTGCTTTCTTCCTGAGAAATAAGTATGTAGCCATTTGACAACCCAACAGTCAATTTGAGCAGTAATAAATTGTGCTCGAAACGTGATTTATCAAAATAAAATCTCATCCATAATGGAGTTATACTCTACCACCACAGTGCCCAAGTTTTATACTTATATCAATAAAACAAAAAATATATATGACCAGAATTTAAACTTCACGCAATTGTCTTTCCTTGATGAACTTAAACAAAAAACAAAACCAACAAGTTGCCAATTCCTGCTAATTACATACAATCTAAGAGAATTTTCATACCAGTTTACAAAAAACTCGAATACTATAACTAATTAGTTAGAGAGAAAAATGAAGATAATCAATAGTTACGCAACTGAATACACGAAGATGTACAAGATAAGCACTGTCAGTCAGTCAGTCTGTCAGTCTTAATGTGCTTGCTGATGAAAATGTAGACAAAGGTATAATAATATTCTAGAGTTTGAACTAGACTCAACATACTAATTAGACATCTATAAAACACAAAATAATCGAGCAAAGAATATCCTTTTCGATAAATCCCACATCTTCTGGCTCTACAATTATATATAGATGTTTATATACACAAAATATTCAAGGTTGGTAGTTAATAACAATATTGGTGTTTTATAAGTAATATCGATTTGTAAAGTATGATCAATGCAATTACAGTTCACTAAAAATACTTAAATTATAATAGTAATAAAGATATAAAAAGAATCTAGTATTCCATTTTTAGACGTTTTTATGACCAGAAAAGAGGATGGCTCAATAAGACGAAGTGTTTATAGAAAACCTACATCAACGGGCCAGTGCACACATTTTCTCAGTTTTGTGCCTTGAAATACAAACGCAATTTGATAAAGTGCCTGGTTCACAGAGCAAGAGCGATTTGCTCGGACGAATGTCTTGATGAAGAACTGAATAATATTAAACGGTTGCTAAGTGAGAATGGTTATCCTGAAAAGTTTATTGATAAGAATATGAATTTGAAACCAAAGCAGCCGAAGTTACCGACAGTTCCAAAAAAGGCCTTATTCTTTCAGATGCAGTTCCTTTGGGGACAACACTAGCGAGATACTAACACAGTGCATTAGAAATGCGTTAAAAAGAGCATTCAGGGCTGCTGAATTATACTGTCTTCAAAACCGTTCCTATTTTGCGTTCAGGAATCAAAGACAAACTGCTTAATTTCGCCTCTTCCATGTGTGTCTACGAATTTAACTGCTCCTGTGGAGCCAGTTACATAGGCCGCACAATTAGACGTGTTTCTCGTCGAATTTCCGAACATCACCCTGCGTGGTTAAGCAAAGGCCAAACAAAATCTATCCGTAGCGCTATTTTGGCTCATCTTGTGGATACAGAACATAAGATTGATGTTAACCAAGCTTTTAGAGTTATTTACCGGATACCAACAAATCTCAACTTCGCCTTGAGATTTCGATTACTAAATATTGCTGAGGCTGTTGGGATCCACATTAAAAAGCCTAATTTGTGCGTCAAAATAAAGTTGGTTCAGACACTGTCCTTACCTTGGCCATCTGATTTTGAATGATTCTCAATTTTTGTGGAAATTTCCTAATTTTAGTTGATATTCTACTCGTTATTATATCTCTATTATAATATAAGTATTTTTAGTGAACTGTAATTGCATTGATCATACTTTACAAATCGATATTACTTATAAAACACCAATATTGTTATTAACTACCAACCTTGAATATTTTGTGTATATAAACATATACATATATATGTATATAATTGTAGAGCCAGAAGAGGAATTTATCGAAAAGAATATTCATTGCTCGATTATTTTGTGTTTTATACTAATTAGAGATAGAATACCAATGAGCGGTAGTGCCTTTTATGTGGGCATGATGATAACGCAATATGAATAAAATAACAGTGAGTTAATTAGAGGTCAAATATTCAGAGTAAGTGTGTGTTTATGTGAAGACAAAACGAAAGGAACCAAAGGCTATGAGACGATATTTTTAAAAAAACCAACTAATAATAAAATAAAAAATAACAACAACAACAAACATTCTGACTATAGTGAGGAATGACTGACGGGAATTCCATTCTGAATGCATAAGCTGGCTTATAATAGATCAACGGGTATCAATCACTTCAATCAGACATAGTGAAACCAGAAATAGTTCATACTTCATTTGTAAAAAAAAATTATATTTGTAAAATCTCAACGAGATTGAAATGAGTAATTCCAACGTTTCCCGAGTTCGACAATCTGGTCCCAACTTCTTCAGGGAAATTAATCCGAATTAACATAACATAACAGAGGTTTATATATAAAAGGAACATCTTTTGTTTTTATAAACTTTGTCCAATCATGATTCATAAAATAATTATCAACAGGTAGAATAAACAAAATTGAACGAGCTGTGATCAAAATTTGACCTCGGACCTGCTACAAATATTGGTCTACCTTTGTTAAACACTTTAAACACAGTGTGTATGCGTGTGTGTGGGTAAACAATTGTAAAATATTTCCCTGAAGAAGTTCGAACCAGATTGCCGAACGAAACGCTGGAATTACTCATTTCAATCTCGTTGAGATTTTACAAATATAATTTTTTACAAATGTCTACTTCTCACTCGGCGCCCAAATTTTTTAGAACTATTCTGTCAAATCTTGACTACAGTTCATTTGATTTATTTTGCAATCGAATTAAATTAACAAAGAAACTATGTAATTGGCACAATCATCGTGTTTCCACTCTCCGTTGTCTGCAGCAGAATACATATCCTAAATCCGTATCTGTCAAGTAACCTGACAACTCCAGTAGATCGAATAGAGCAACTCAATCTTCAGAAAGAAGACAAAGTAATAAGTTCGACAGGGTGCTCTTCAACTAAACTCTAATCCTGAACACCATAGTTTTGAAAATACGTTTAATCATAAAATTCTAGATACTAACAGTTTGAACAGACATGAAGGTGTGATGTTAGCTTATGCATAGCAAATCCTGATTAATAAATAAGAATGGATATGTATCACTAACTAATAATACTTGGTCAAAGTTCCTGACTGTCTATATCTACTTATGGAGACGTTAAGAAATAGTTTTACAACTGTTTATCCGCACACATACACACTGTGTTTAAAGTGTTTAACAAAGGTAGACCAATATTTGTAACAGGTCCGAGGTCAAATTTTGATCACAGCTCGTTCAATTTTGTTTATTCTACCTGTTGATAATTATTTTATGAATCATGATTGGACAAAGTTTATAAAAACAAAAGATGTTCCTTTTATATATAAACCTCTGTTATGTTATGTTAATTCGGATTAATTTCCCTGAAGAAGTTCGGACCGGATTGTCGAACTCGGGAAACGTTGGAATTGCTTATTTCAATCTCGCTGAGAGTTTACAAATATAATCTACTTCTCACTTGGCGCCCAAATATTTTAGAATTTTTCTATCGAAACTTGATGACATTTCATTTTAATTCCTACTTCACTTGAATGATTTCCAAACATTAGTTTTGTGGTCACTATCTAACAGGTGATGAGTGAATACACTAATGAAGGTAATGCTACTTACAGCCAACATCACTTTAGTATATACTAGCAGAATTATTTTTATGTGCATTCAGTTATTACTATCATTATTCCCTTGGGTTCCGAGTGGAACATAGTCCTTCAGCAACACACCTCCACTTCCTTCTTTTCTCTCTGCCATCCTCTTCAGATGGGTCCACGATTGCCCGTTTTCTCTCATCTCATCCTTATCACACCATCTCCCCCATGTTATGCTGACACCAATGACTCACTCATCATTTGCCATTTGGATTCTTGTTTAACGCTGGCCTGCATTGCACACGATGTCATTTTATGGTATCCTCAACGTGTGGCCGATCACTTCATCTCCATTTTCTCCTGAAATCGGCACCTGGTTGGTTTCGTCTACTGCAGTTTCTTGTTGCTAATTCCTTCTGTTTGTTCGGCCATTTGATCTGCAGTATGGAATAAGCGAATGTGGCAGCTGTTGATAAAGGTCGATAACTTGCTAGAAATTCTTTACGTGGCACACAGTGCAAGTTTCTGACCAGTATAGAAGGACCGAATTCAAATTTGTGTTGAATAGAATCTTAATATTGTTCTTTATGCGGCGGAGTGCAGAAGATTGCCAGACTGGTTTCAGGTTAATGAAGGCGTATCATGCCGTTCACGGCAAATCATGTGAGGATTAAATCGCAACTCTACACATCGTCATCACAGAACAAAGCATAGAATGGCAGTCAAATCTCTCTTCACCTCAACTTCATCGATTTTGAAAAAGCCTTCGATATACAGCGTTGACCGAGAAGTGATTTAGAAACTACATCAACACTACGGAGTACCTCAGTTCTTTGTCAACCTCATTCAACAGCTAGCTATATGACAATGTGAAGTCAATTCTTCTATATGGGTCAGAAACTTGACCAAAGTGTCACGAAAAGGATTTCCAACAGGTTCAAGACATTCATCACCAGCTGCCTTCGCTAGCTTCATACTGAAGATCAAGTGGCCAGAAAAAATAAGCCTCAGGAAACTATGGGAACAAACCAACGAAGAGCCGACTTCTTAACAAATATGTAGGAGAAAGTCAAGATGGATTGATCGGGCATACGTTGAGGAGGCCACGAATGACATAGCACGCCAGGCCATCGCTCGACAGGAATCCAAATGGGAAGCGACTAGTGGGTCGTCAGAGCTAGGGTGATATGGAGGAGATCGTGTGAGGAAGAGATGAGAGAGTTCGGTCAATCGTGGACTCAGCTTAAGAGAACAGCAGAAAATAGAACGAAGTGGAGATGTGTTGTTGAAGCCCTGTGTTACACTTGGAACGCAAGGGAATAATAATATAAATAATAATAGTCACGGTGTTCCGATTCTGGTTTTGACATCATCCATTCAGCCCGCCTGCATTTGGAACAATGCTTCCTAGCTGGAAAAGTGAAGGAGGTAACCTCTGTCAAACCTCTCATGTTGATGGTGATTGGTAATGCTTGGGGTTGTTGCTTTCCGTTGATGATCATCAGTTACGTAATGTCAATGAAAAATTTACCATCTTCCGAATAACTAAGTAACATATTTGGACATTGGTACTAAAGGTATTTACGGTCATATACCATTGATGAGAATCACAGAAATAATATGATATTGCGTCATCTTACTGAGGTTATCATTTCCAGGTGTCCAGCTCTCTGTGTTTTTGTTTCATTTCCTTTGAAATTCGAATGGAAAGGGAAACACTAAGCTTCGAAGTTCAAGACTCAGTACTGTTGTTTGTTTACAGACAAGGATTCAGAAATCAACTTGCATAGATTGCTTCTAACAATCCTAACCCTCTCCCATCCTATTGTGTGACTGTGTGTTAGTGTATCCAGGGCAGTCACTGAGCTTTTTTTCTAAATTACTTATCTTCTCGGGGTTAACCATTCCAACCCTACCCCCGACCTACTAGTTTGACCTATATAGCTAACCTCACTCACAGTCATTGCAAGGTGTTTTGTAAATTATATTATTTTGTTTAATTGAGTCCACCGGGTCTTTTAGCCTACAGAGCTTGTCTCAGAGTGAGTTTGTAGGTTTGAATGCCACCCTAATTCCTGCTTTATTGAGAATCCTACGTAGGACCTGAGATGTCCCCTCCTTATATGGTATAACAGTGGATGACCTATATTCTCTCTTATTTATGTTATCATTACTGGTTCCAAAATTATTTTTATTTTGTTTTTCTTGCCTTTACTAATCTTCCTAATGAGTTTTATAGGATAGTTATTCAACACCAACGCTTCTTCTATCTGTTTTATTTCCTCATTTAAGTCTTTTTTTGTGCTACTTAGTGCTACGGCTCGGTTTGTTAGACACTTAACTAAGCCTGTCCTAACACTTAACCGATGAGACGAATTAAAGTCTAAATATATACTAGAATGCGTTGGTTTTTTTTATAAACTATAGTGTGCAGTGCAGTGCAGTTTGCCTTCTCCTGTTCGTTTTATTTTTTACAATCTAACATCTTAGCTAATTCTCCTAGTTCATTTTCCGATTCAAATGTGAATTTTATTCCCTCTACTAGTGAGCTTTTATGCGGCATGAAGAAAGAGATATGTTCTATTTTTAACACTGTGGAAGTGTCGTCCACATGTCTTTGGAGTAGGATTAGGTGAATGTATTACGAGCAATATTTTCCCAGCTGTCCATAAGTATATCCGCTACGATAGGGGATATTAGTGATCCATGCCATTGCTACACCTTCAGTTTGTCTATATTTTTTCCCTTGGAATTTAAAGATGGTGGATGGCTTGCTAGCCAAACTTCCAATCTTCCATACTTTCCCAACACCATTCCGCTCACTTCTCTGAAACCAATTCCAGTGAACTGCATAGCTCTGATGTGAGCAAACATTCGCTTTCTCCTCACATCTTATTACCACAGTGAAACTCATACGCTCAATTGGTTCCCATTCGTTTTCTATTTGAGAGCATGTCTAACGTAAAATGTTACTTTAATGTCTCCTCAACATTTGCTTAATCTAATTACATTTCCCTCTGAATGTGTTTTCGGCAAAGAGGAATTCATTCCCTACTAAAAATATACATATTGTTGAAATCAGATCGCGAGGCGTTTTCACGCATAATATGACAAACATCACAAAAGATATTCTAGCTGCGTAGAAAAGCTGACAGACATCCTTACAATAGACGAATGCGTAACAGCTGATAGGATAACAGTGTCTGTCTAGGACCATAATGCAAGATGAACTACCTGAGGAAGTTCAAACCGTAATAGACCGCCACCGAACGAATGCACAGAAACTTCGATCTGCCTCACACTAGAACACAAATTTGGCAAGAATGCCAATTCCGTACGATTTCAGAGATTAAACAGTGTGCGACTACCCCTTAAAAGCCATCAACTACTTTGTCTTCGTAGATATTACGTCTCAGAAGTCCTTTTACCTCTCGCTTCAGACATATAACCTCGAGTATTTTCTGGAAACGAAAGAAGGGGAAGATAAAGCGGAATATCGTAGAGTGTTTTGTCTGCACAGATTTTATGCTGTTACAAGAGTAATCAGGTGTTCAGGTCACTCGAAACCCTACTCACATATGTCGATACATTTCTTTATGAGTTGTCATATTAGCCTAATTTCTCTCTCATTCTCACAGTTTATAAAGGCATACATCCTTCTGTACAAACAATTCACTTCTCATTTTAAGATAAGCTTTTAACTGTATACCATATTTCCTGATTTCTTCATCTAGGTGGTACTGACACTACGTGATAAAAATGATTGGTTATCAAGTTTACGAGAAACAGTCCTGCCAAAAACAAATACTCCACAAAAGTTAATGTTCGATGAAATGAAGACTACATTTGGTCTTGATAAAACATTTGAAAAAATGGTGTATGATTCAATGAAATTCGCCTTTCAAAAAGATATTGATTTAGACAATGATGAAGCCTTGCTTGAATGTTTTGATGAATACAATCAACGCATAAAAGACACTATACCACATGAACGTTTATTAGTCCACACATTTACTGATGGTTGGGGACCATTGTGTAAATTTCTTAATGTCGACATACCAAAAGATAAACCTTATCCACATGTAAATGATCGCAATGAAATGAAAAGTCGTATGGAAGTGACAAGGAAGCAGATGTCATGAGGCTGAATTACTTTATGCTTTTCAATTCATTTCAATGTTATGCTTCAATTGAAGTTTATAATCACCTATAAATCAATGCTATTATTAGTAACTGATATGTTTAAAGTATTAAATGGTATGTCTTTGCATAAATACATCATATATTTCTAAATTACTGACTTATTTCAATGAGTTCCTTACCTGTTGGGGGGTCATCACCACTTTTCAATCCATGAATAATCTTCATCCAGACATTTGTGGTGTACCTTTTACTCTGTTAGCTTAGTTACCCAAATTCAAATAGAAAATAAAGTACCAAATCAGTTTAGTTACGGGAAGAATGTATTAAAGTTTGGTTACTTGGGTTTACAAAGATCCAAAGTCCACAATAAACGTAATAGACTCCAGGTGCTGCGGGAAGACTGCTCCAGTACTAATTCTCCAATGTTGACGTTGCCGGAGGTCGACCAAAGTACGTAGGAAGAACTACGGTGCTCCTGCAAAAATTTGAGATAGAAAGCAGGTGATTAAAATTGATCGACGGCAGTTGAGATGGTGGAGAAGACGGAGAGTCGAAGGCAGAACTATATATTTATTCAAAACCCGAGGTAAAGTTCAAAGTACAGAGTTTATGGTTAAAACAAAGTGATGTACAATATGTTCATTTCTTACATAGTAGTAAAATTTGGATAAGTTTATTTTTGAGGACTCCACAGGGCTCCCCCTCTTAGAGGTCCGGAGGACCATCAGTACTGTCCTCGTGGACGATTACATGAATATAAGCAATATAAATAAGGGACAATGTCAACAATAAGGATAACAAAAAATAACATCAACAACAATAAGGATACAAAGTTAGATCAGGATGTATGGAATGCATCCGTGTCGTATAAAGTTTAGCACATACAAGCACATACAGGAATTTAAAAAAAATCAAAACTTGTTATAATTTTAAATAAAAAATTTATGTACATAATAAACCATGACATGTTCGTTAACATTTGTGAAATTCATATATAAATAGATATATACATATACTTGGTGAATGCGTGTGCTTGCAGTACAGTTAACGAACAGCAAACAATAATACTAATAAATATTTATGGTTATAATGAAATGAATCTCGACAACAATAGTAATGAGAAGAATGTCTAAATGAGGTTAACGTACTTTTTTATGTCAGTCAATAAAATGAACATAGCGGGCAGGTTTACAGATCTGCCGTCCACTGCGTGTCTGTACAGGGGGAAGTGTGAAGAGCGGGAGAGTTGGAGTTGCATTGACTTTCTGATTGTTTATTGGTGCCGGCGTTGCTAGTGTTTCATATTCGCTGTCGGTGTACGCTGGTTTAAGACGGTCGATAGAAACAGTCTCCGGTTTACCATGTTTGTTCAGCGTGAAGTATTTATCGGTGCGTTTAAGTACTAGAAAAGGACCTTCATATGGATGTTGTAAACCTTTTCTAATGGCATCGACGCGAACAAATACAAATTTGCTAGTGAGTAGATTCTTATTTACTTGAGCTTTCTGAAGTGATTGGCGAGGGGCTACTGGTCGAAGCTGAAGCATATGCTGGGTAAGGCGGTTGGTGAAGTCGGAGATATTTACTTCAGTTGAATCATTAGACGGAACTAACTGACCAGGCAATGTGAGGGTAGTACCATACACAAGTTGAGCTGGTGTACATCCCAAATCTTCTTTTACAGTTGATCGGATACTGAGAAGAACTAATGGTAGGTGTTCACTCCACTTAGATGAGTCAGCTTGTGCCATAAGCGAGCTTTTCAGTTGTCGATGGAAACGTTCCACCAGACCATTCGCTGCAGGATGATAAGCTGTAGTGGAGATATGGTTCACTCCAAGGAGTCTCGTAAACTCTCGAAACAGAGTTGATTGAAATTGAGCTCCTCGGTCTGTTGTAATAGTTGTGGGTACTCCGTAGTTTGACACCCAGCGATCTAAGAAAACCAAAGCGATATTTTCTGCAGATATATCGTTGAGTGGACAAGCAATAGCCCATCGGGTAAATCGATCAATCGCAGTAAGTATATGAGTAAATCCTCTGGATGGCGGTAATGGTCCAATAATATCTATATGAACGTGTTGAAATCGTTTATCCGGTAAATTGAACTGTTTTGGAGGTGTGACGGTATGATGATGTACCTTGGATCTTTGACATTGCAAGCATTGGCGGGCCCATTTCCGAATATCGGAGTTCATCTTGGGCCAAACAAAACGCTCGCTGATTAACTTGACCGTAGCACGCACTCCAGGATGAGACAATGAATGTAGATGTTCAAACAAAGGTTTTCGACAACTTAGTGGAACAAAAGGTCTATGAACGCCCGTTGAAACGTCGCAGACGATAGTTGTATCAGACAGGGGAATAGGTACATCCTGCAACTGTAGGGAGGAGTTTCGTCTACAAGTATGGAGTTCGGCGTCATTTTTCTGCAGCTTGGCAATATTGTCTAAGCTAATATCTATCGAAGATAGGTGATTAACGTCACATCGAGACAAGGAATCGGCTACGATATTGGAATCTCCTTTGATGAACTGGATGTCTGTTGAGAATTGTGAGATGTAATCCAGTTGTCTGGCTTCTCTCGGAGAGTGTCTGTCCAACGAAGTGGTGAAAGCATAACAAAGAGGCTTATGGTCGGTTAAGATAGTAAAATGTCGACCTTGTAGTAAGAAGCTGAAATGTTTCACTGCTAGGTAGATGGCTAACAGTTCTCTGCCAAAAGTGCTGTAACGAGTTTGCGCAGGTTCCAACTTTTTGGAGAAGAAAGCAAGTGGAGTGATGTCATTATTGAACTTTTGTTGTAAAACTGCTCCCACTGCTACCTGCGATGCATCTGTACATAAAATGAGTGAAGCTTCTGGGTTGATGTGAGATAACATTACAACGTTGGATAAGGCATCTTTTGCATTATTAAATGCTGCTTTTGCTTCTTCAGACCACTGAAATTTCTTCGAATTGCATCTAAGTAGGTCGGTCAGTGGCTGAACTATGGAGGCACATGATGGAATAAAACGTCGGTAGAAGTTGAACATCCCGAGAAAACGTCTAAGTTTCTTTAAGGAATCAGGTTCGGGAAAGTTCTTAATAGTTTTTATCTTATCTTCGGTAGGTCTGATGCCTTCGGCAGTTATTCGATGTCCTAAGAATTCAATGGAAGGGGAACCAAAAATACATTTCTTTGGATTGATAACAACTCCAAATTGTTCAAACCTTTGAAATAACAAGCTTAAGTGTTCCATATGTTCTTCCATCGATGAGCTGGCAATTAAGACATCGTCGATATATACAAAGACGAAATCAAGACCTTGGGTAACTTGGTCCATAAAACGCTGAAATGTTTGAGCAGCATTCTTTAGTCCGAAAGGCATTCTCAAGAATTCGAATAATCCAAAAGGCGTGATAATTGCTGTTTTTGCAATGTCTTCTGGAGCGACTGGTATTTGATGATATGCCCTGACCAAGTCAACTTTAGTAAAAATGGTCTTTCCATGTAAGGTCAAGGAGAAGTCGTGGAGATGAGGTATAGGATAACGGTCTGGGACCGTAGCGTTATTCAAAGCGCGATAATCTCCACATGGTCGCCAGTCATGATTAGTTTTAGGTACCATATGCAAAGGTGAAGACCATGGACTGTTAGATGGTCGTATGATACCTAGCTGCATCATATGTTCGAATTCCGACTTAGCTGCTGCTAGTTTATCGGGTGGTAACCGTCGTGGACGTGCCTTCACAGGTTGTCCTGTTGTGATGATCTTATGCGTAACTGTATGAGATATATCTTCGACGTTGTATGATGGTTTAAGGATTTTAGGAAATCGTTGCAATAAAGCAGAGAACATTTCACTCTCCGGCTTTTCTATACAGATGCTATGAACAGAGTAGTCACATGTAATACCGTGGATCTTGAGTTGGGTGCAATTGTCAACCAGTTTTTTCTTGCTGATATCAACCAACAGATTGAAGTGACTTAGGAAGTCTGCACCTAGTATAGCGTGACGTACGTCAGCTACTATGAAGATCCATGTGAAACGTCGGCGTAATCCTAGGTTTAAAATCATTGACTGTTCGCCATACGTCTGTATGTTGGTTTGGTTGGCAGCACGGAGTGAAAGTTTTCCAGGTATTTTGGCTGATCGCCTGGATAGTGAGGGGGGAATAACACTGACCTCGGCGCCTGTATCTACCAGGAATAATGTGCCGGTAGTCAAATCCCTCACATAGAAAAGGCGACTGGGGTGATTGCCAGTAACAGCCGTCGCCATTACTGTCTGGCTGGGGAGTTTCCCTGAATTGTGTTACCACTGTTGTACATACACGGTCGAAGACACTTCAGGGCATTATGCCCATACCTCCTATGATACCAACAAATGTTACGGCTTTGGGACGGTGTTCTAGAACGTCGTCTAGATCTTGATCGCCGTTGCTTGGATACCGTATGTGACTGGTTCCTTTGTGCTCGAAGCTCAGACACTTCCAGTCGTAAGTCTTGCATTTGAGATGTTAACTGGGAAAGTAACCAAAACAGTGGTGCGTCCTTCATAGATGTGGAATCCGGCAAGGCGGTAACAGGAGAGTTCTGTATCACTTCGCCTTTATGAAGTTCTTCGGGAATAGTGACACGTTTATATGGAGCCATTGTCAAAAAAATATTTAAGTATAGAGATATACAAAATAGCAAAACTTGTGGTAACAAAAATTAAAGCAATGCGAGTTTATAAGGCCAAAATAGCAACAAAAATGTTCAAAACGAGTTAACTATCGAAACAAAAAGGTTCGAAAACGGGTTAACCATAAAAAAAGGTTCGAAACGGGCTCACCAATTATTGTGGTGGACCTTTTACTCTGTTAGCTTAGTTACCCAAATTCAAATAGAAAATAAAGTACCAAATCAGTTTAGTTACGGGAAGAATGTATTAAAGTTTGGTTACTTGGGTTTACAAAGATCCAAAGTCCACAATAAACGTAATAGACTCCAGGTGCTGCGGGAAGACTGCTC